ATATACCTGCAATGAGTGCGATTTCAGTTGAGATGTTCCATTCGAAGGATGATATGCTTAGGTGAAGGATATCTTAGTTGATACTTGTAACGATCAGCTTTATTAGGACGATCAGCATTCATTCGTACAAATACGAGCATGTTTCATATAGAATATGATCATTCACCTAATAATTTCTCGTGTAATTTCTATTCCCTCTCCACAATTTTGAACGCTGAATGTATACTGACATAATATTTTTTCAAGTTTTAGCAGCAGGCTTATCAGTTTAGCAGAAAAAATAATAATAAAAAGATAGACTTTGTAAGATTGATGAAATTTTAGCAAGTATAAGATGCTGAGTACGCAAGAAGAAGAGTTCGTAATAAGGGGACAGTTGAAGAAATCAGACGGTACAAAAATTAGTTACGATGCTATCCTTTTACCGAATCGACTCTACAAGGTATCGTCTGATCGTGAATCAACTTTTTAAACTTCCTCAAAGATTCACTGTTGTCTTCTTTACACAATTCATTTGTACCAACTTCTTAAAATCTCAAGTTTCATTGATAATCTCCACCTACCAAAGCAGTTTCAATCCCATCATCCCATTATATCCAAATGGAGCGATCAAGTGGAATGATCCCATTTGGTCAATATCAAACACAATCAAAATCTGAAATTTATGAATGTCACGATATCCTTATGAATATCTCACGATCAGAAAGAGAGACTTTTGTTTATTGTTAGCAATAAATTCAGGTAGATGAACAACATTTTGGTGAAGCAACGATAAGGTGTGTGCAGAAAGTGAATGAATCGACGTACTCAATAGAGTTGGTGACTGATCGAATAACGCCGTTGGTGTGGCTGCAGCTGCTGAATAGCGATGGTGTGCAAGCACATTGGTTCTCGGACAATGCCTTTACAATGACTGAACCCACCAAAACAGTTTGGTTGTATCTGATAAAGTTTGACTCGAAACGACCATCGATCGGTTTCGATGATATTCGAGTTTGTTCACTGCGTAACTGCGGTCTTCAAACATTTGATTGATTCCTCGAATGTTTGTTGATTCCTTACTCTATTTGTTCTTCTTCTTCTTAAATACACTCATTAATTGTTTCTTACATCCAAATTTCCAGTCAGTTATTTCAGCGAAAAAATATTTCCCACTTCTTTGTGCTGTTCTTGAGATTTCAGCCGACTCTATAAACATTCGATTTCATTCGTGAAACAATTTGTATATTCAAGAATGATTATTATTCCAGATGTAATTTTTTGAATTATTCTTTATGAGTTATTACCACATTCACTATCAGTTGAATTCCTTACATGCCTCTCAAATCTTATCTCTATTCCGCACCATAATACATTATGTACTCAAGCAGCAAATTCTCTCATCCAATTATTTCCATTCACAATTATGACGAATCACTCATAAACTCGTTCATAATTGCTCTCACAAACCAAATTCCGCTCACTTCTCCACGGTTGACAGAATGAATTTCAATTTAATAATGTGAAACGAACGCTAAATTCATTATTTTATTCACCATCACGATTACAATTCCGAATTTATACTTTGAGTGATTATACGAAATCACGAACGTATTCGTTAAATGAACACAAATGAGATATCATAGACAACGGCAAATGGATTGAATGAGATGACAACAGTTCATGAATTAGCAGAATTAAACAATCATCTCGAGTTGCTTTGCATAAAATATCGTTTGCTTTGCGATTCGTTTCGTGTCCAGATGTGCCTTTGGCAGCGGTTCGACTGGCTTCTCGATATCGAACAAGAAGATATTCTTTTCCATCTTCCAACCGCGTTTCGAAGTAAACGCAATCAAGTCTTTCTCATTGTTGAATAACAACAACTGCGTGGCATCTTTCAATGAAACTCGCTTGAACGCACGCTCAATGCATACGGCTATTTCATTTCTGCAACACATCAACGTCAACATACCACAACTCCTCCATTTCCGTGATAAAAAACTATTTATATTTCAACAATACTCAATTCTTTATGAATTCATCATCAGACTTATAAACATTCCCGATTTCAAAAAGCACTTGCAAAACACACTGAAAACATTTCGAATCAAGATGTAAAAGTTTTCAAAAAACAGAAATATGCCAACCTAACGGTGTCCATTAGAATACGTATGAATACAGCATAATAAGGACTTGGAATCGTGCCTTCAGTCAGAACAACCTAAACGAGGATAAGATCGAAAATCGAGTATTTCCAACTAAGCATATTATTCTCAGGACAACTGAGATTTGAATCACAAAATCATACATTCCTATGAAGTGAATATCATACTCAACAAAATAATAAAACAAGCGCAATATACGAACCTTATTATAAACACCTTCGA